TCTAGCAGACAGAGCCCTCCTTCTTGTACTACTTCTGTTAAGACAGTGTATCATTTTATGTGCTTATTAAATGAGATGCTTTCTAATTTAAACGTTCTTCCTTCTTTATATATGATTTTTTTATGAGACATTCATTAGTAAGGTAACCAATATTGTCTAAATTTAATATGGACAACTAGGAATTATGGTTCTTATTGAGTCTCGTGAGCTTAGTAGAGTCCTTTGGAATTATGCATGGGGTACCTTTGTGAGGAAGATTTTTTTTTTAATGATGCTTTCTAGAGCTTATTTTTCTTGTAATAACTTGGACTTGAGTTTTAATCCATCTTGCCATGGTTCCTTATGTAGAAGGTTTGATTACACTCTTAACCAAGTCCTAGTGGCTTCCCCATTGACTAGAAAGAAAAGGTATGGTAGTTGGTCTCTTTTATTACATATTTTGCTATCATTGCCCAATGATTACATACTTGTAACAAAATTTAGAGAACTTCTCATAATTATATTGTATCCAGTATTCATTGTTATTTAGTTTTGACAAGAAAAAACCTAAAGCAAGTGGTTGAAGTGTTGATCTCCTCTAAGAATATGATATAATTTGACTATTATCATTCTTTTTCGACTAACTCTCTCTCTGTAAACTTGCCTATCATATTAGCAATCATCCTTGCATTTGTTTAATTAAATACCCAAGAGGAAGTTCAATAATCCTAGCCATAAAAATATTAACAAAAATAAATTTTGTTGGCATTCTTTTATCTCTAGTATAAACATCTAATATTCTATATGCATTTATTTTTAGTTTGCTTTCTATCTACTTCATGCTTAAAAGAGCACATGAATATGCTTTTCAAGTGATTTAAAATGAAAATCCATGATTTGTGGACCATCTAAAAGATAAGACATGTAAAATAGCATTAAAAGGAATAATGTTTAGAAAAAGGATCTTATTAATCATTGGGAGTTCCAAAAATTTATGATTGTCTTGGTCTTCTATTGTTAATATTAATTCATCTATACTCATAAGAGTCTCTACTTCTTGTTCTACCTCCTAATTTTTGTCTTTATCTATGTGTCAGCCATGTGAAATAAATAACCATTCATTTACTTTTTTTTTTTTTTTTCAAATGTGAGCTGGGGTCATAAGAAATTATAGCCTTTTCTTGAGGGAGTAAGAAGATTTTCTACTTTCCTGGTACATATTACAAGTAGTTGAATATATATATTGGATGAAGAATAGGTTAATATGTATGAAAAGGAATCTTTAGATTAATTGTTAAAAAACATGTCTTGGTTTCCTGGTACTTGTATAGGAATTTGTGGGAAGAATAGGGATGCTTATGCTTACAGGGAAGGAATACAAATATGGCAAGTTGTAAGCACTTGCTTGCTTAATTAATGCCTTCGGTTTAATAAAAAAGCATAAACATTTACACACGCAATAAAAACATTCTACTATAACTTAACCAGTAGAGAAATATATGTTACACTCAAATCTATGAGATGATGGTTTTATTCTGTTTTGGCTCCCATATAAAATACTTGTCTAAAATTATGGTTTAGATTGGCTGAAATCCAACCCAAATTCGATCAATTGCTGTTACTTTCCTCAAATATGAATTTAACCCAACTGAATAAACAAAATTAGACTAGGAGATTAAAAAAACTTCAGTCCGTTCTAATCCCAGACCACAAAAAATACAGGGAGAAGATTTAAAACTAAAAGTAGATAGTAAAAAAATAAATAACTATCATTATTATTGTTGAAGTTACTATTTTGATTTCTTAGAAAGAGACTCCAATCTCGTCATGCTTCTGGTAGCCACACCCCTTGTAGGAACTGTAGCCTCCGGCTGGCTCCTTAAGCCTTCTCGTCTTACAATTGTGACAGGACTTCGACTTCTATTCATGCCTGAAGTAATGTTGGAGGCCTTCCCGCTTAATGTGGACAATACATGATCCAAAATATTCCTTTCGGAACCTCCGGAAGGAGACATAAGATGATCACGTAGCCGAGACACAGGGATATCATCCAATGATTTGCTACTGTCCAAGGACATGGGTTTCGCTGGACAGAGTTGCGAAGTGTAGTCTTTCCAGTAGTATGGAAATCCAAACAGAAAATGATGGCAAACCTAATAATTCCAATTCAAAGTTCAAACAATTAATCACTTTAATGTCGTTTTCTTTGCAGAAGAAACGAAGGCCGAACAAACCTGGAATGGAAAGCCATTGTCATGTGTGCGATTCCTGTTTATAAGCCCACTGAGTTTTACGGTGATGCCATCTGCAGTCTGTAAAGTGGTAACATCAACTCTCTTTGCAATTGCTCCAGAGTGGAAGATTCTAATGCCCACTCTCCTGTTCACATCAACGAAGACTAGCTTTTAATAAATGGATTATTTGCAAATTGCATGAAACTGACTTCGTTAAAAATCACCCTCTGTTCTCAAATCCTGCAATGCCTAAGCCCTTGCCTTCGGCTTTCGTAAGCCACCATTCATGAAGCCACACCTACATCCATTAAAACCCTGCACTTTAGCACACACAAATGCTTTCAGAATTTTTCTTTTCAAAAAGCCTACCAATTTTATGGATGGAGCTGGGATGACTGAAGCCCTGGCCAACCGGAATTCTGAAATGGAGTTGGAGTCAGCATGAGGGTTGTCCTCTGGACTTCGACCTGACTGTTCCGTGCTATAATCTAATTGTTTCACAGGAGGTGGAGTTGGAGTGGCGGCAGAATTTCTTTTCACTCTCTT